GGATTACAGAGAATGTGACCTTCTGTTGCAGGCATTGGTTCTTGAATCCACAGAAACAGAGTGTCACTTGTACCAAGGCTAATCTGGGGAAGAAAATAATTGAAGTGTTATCACAACGTGCACGGAAGGCAATACAGAAATTAAATGAAATCCATTTGTTCTTATTGCTAATTGTTTTTAAGTCACACGTTAAGTCAATTGGATTCTTATTGCAGAGAACTCTGGTTTGGTTGTCACCCCAGTGAAATATAGTCCAGAACTAGCAAGAGACTTAGGGATTCATAAACGTCCCCAGAGTTTGCTTATCATCCTTCTTCCAGCTCCAAAAAGGACTGAGAATCAGAGTCCAGCACACAGAAAAACAACAGCTTCTCTATTTTGGTTTAGTTGATGACCCACAGTTATCATCCAAGTTTGTATTTTATATTCTACGATGGCTTTAATTACTCAGGGTCTGGACAGCTGTCATGAACACATTTTAACTTACTGCAATGTCCCCTTCTTCAAGCCTCATTCCTGCCAGTGATGCTGAAAACATAAATAATAATGTTCAACTGGTAGTTAAGCATGCAAGGTAATAATACTGCCCCAGAGGTCACACACTGTTCTGTGCAGAAAAACTGCACAAAAGGGGCTTATGCACCACCTCAAAATAAGACTTTGTGCTTGTGCTAGCTTTTGCTAAAATACTGAAGTGAGTCTCTATTTGGAATCACAGAATGAAAGGACTTAGAGATGAAAAATCTGTCATGGTATCTTTAGTCCAGTGCAGCACTGCTCTCTATGGTACTGTTTCTAGTGTTTTATCCACTCAAGTTTTAAATGCATCTTAGGCCCAAACCTAAGTATTTAAACAGGTGAAGATTCCAATATGCTCAAGTGCTTTCCTGGATTTAAATTTCAGAGAGGAAGGAGGACTTTGTAGCTAATACATGTAACTAGAACTAAGGAGGTAAGGGGGAATCCTGGCTCTGTGGGCCACACCCTGTGCTACTGTGGTAGATAATTTTTGAAAAATAGGGCTTCTGTACTACAGACTGCAACAGCTTTCAAGATTTACACAAATGTCCCAAATTCAGCATATATGACACAGCTAGGAATTCTGAAATCCTTGCAATCTTATCTAAATCAGAATTTCAGTAAAAGATACCAATACACCTCTGAACTCACACGATAAGTGAAAAAATTATTTTTCTAGGATTTTGAGGTATGAACCAAAGTACTGACTGCTTGCAGCATACTTTTTAGTAGGCTTTGCCTTCTGTCCCTATATTATTATTTTCTAAAACTATGCTATTTATTCTACCCAAATAACTGTCAAGCCACTGTCATGCCTTTAGGGACTGCCATAATATCTTGAACAAATACTATAAGATTGTCCATCTCATTTTCTCTAGGATTTCTATACCTGTACAACCTTTACATTTTAAAGGGTGATTTATATTAAAGACTTGGGAGTTGGTTTATATTCATTTAGATAGTTTAGTTGAACTGGGTTTTTTTCCCTTTTTATATGTAGGCCAGCAACATGACAGAAGGAAAGAGTACTTAGAATGAGTCTCTAACTCAGGGGTGGGCAAATACAGCCCACAGACCAGACGCAGCCTGCAGAGGGACTCTGCCCACCCCACAGCAGGTCCCTCGGTCCCACTTGGTGCAGGGGCCATCCGGTCTATGGTGTGTCCTGCTGCCCCTGGGCATACAGCAGGGCTTGGGCAGCTCCACAGCTGGACACCACTGCTAGGCAGCCCAGGCAGTGGCAGCTCCTTCCACCTACTGCCACTGCCAGCCCCAGCTCCTGGTGGCGACCTGCGCGCGCAGCCTTGGCCCCAGCCCGCACCCACTCTGGACTCTTACCCAGGCAGAGCAGACCAGCCAAGATCTGCACACACAGCCCCAACCCCAGCCCGCCACTCACCTGCTTTGAACCACCCACAATGAGCAGAGCAGCAGCAGCCAGGCAGAAGTTGCTGCTGGGTACAGGGGTAAAGCGGCCGCCTCCCCCACACTGCTGCCGGACCCTTCTTGCTGTGGCCTCCCAGAGCCTGCACCTGGGCTATCCTGCGGCTCCTTTCCATTGCCACTGTTGGCCTCCTGGGCACCTGAGAGGCAGCGCTGGTGGTAGTGGTGATAGTGGTGGAGAACAGGTACAGGGCAGCCTGGGTGTGGACTTTGGGCGGCCACAGCAGAAAGGGCCCAGCAGTGGCGAAGGGGAAGCGACCGCTTTACCCCTGTGCCCAGCAGCAGCTTCTGCCTGGCTGGTGCCACTGCTCATCATAAGTGGGTGGGTCTGGAGCAGATGCAGGGTGTGCCAGGGTCAGGGCTGTGTGCATAGATCCTGCCTGGTCCAGAACCGGTCTGGCTCCAGCCAAGGTGAGTCCAGAGTGGGTGTGGGGCAGGCCAGGCCTGTGCACTCAGCTGCTGCTGGGAGCTGGTGCCAGGGAACAGCCACAGGGTGCACAGGCTCTGGGGTATTGCAGGATGGGGTGCTGTAGCAGGGTGCGTGAGCAGATCCAGGGGGCAGGGGCAGTGCTGACCACCCTGTGACAGCTCCCCAAAACTGCCTATGGGGCCTGTGAGCCCAGATAATTGCCAGTCTCTGATCTAACCTCTGTCTCCACTTTACAACTAGGAAGAGGAAAACCAAGCACTTCAAAAAACAAATTTGCTTAAAAGAACATGGAACTACTTGTTGGCAAGAAAAAATTTTGAAGCGTCAATAAACCTAACCAAATTGATTAAGGTGCAAATAAAGTGCACCGTGATAGTGAGTGGCACTAACAAGTCTATCTGCAGTAAATATCACACAAAGTGTGCTTATCCTAGAAGAATCAGCAATAGAAGGCTGTTGGGAAAAAGTTCCTATCCATTAGAACTGATGAGATGGAGTCACTGGATATGAGTATACAATCCCACAAAATCCTATCATCATACATGTTTACTCTCTCACCTGGATTGTCCCCAGTAAATGCTACTACTTTGCAGTCCGGACTAAACCCATAGCGCTGAATATAATATGGAGCAATGGAGCCCTAAAGACAAAATAAATACATACTAAGGAAAGCTGAAAAGTGCACAGTAACCATGCAATGTTGAAGCACAGACGGACATCCAGCTGATTGTACAGTAGCTACAATTTACACTGTGAGCCTTTAGAGATTTTTTAACTGAAATCTTTGTAGGACATGCACAAAAAATCTTCCAAGAAAAATTCCTTACATCAGATTCTAAAATAGGCAAGACAATAACAGCATTTTAATATTTTAGTTTTGTCTTCCTTTTTTTAGAGCAAGAAACATGAGTGTATACCTATGCACACAGATTCAAATATTTCTCTTTACTTTTATAGGTACATTTGGACAGGTATATATGCAAGTAAGCAAAGGCATACAGCTAGCATACTTCTCTACATCAAATGCTTTGTAGCATGTCTTATTTTAGGTCAAGAATCCTATTCCTTTAAGTCTCACTCACCAGTAATTGAAATGAGACTATCCTTAAAATAAGAGGACACTTTTAGTTATTGTTACAAATTTTCCTCCCTGTTTTCACTGCTGATACCAAGAGATTAGCACTCCACACTAAAACCACAGCCCATTAGCAGATGGGTCAACTGTATTATTAGCAAGCAGTGCTGGTGTTAGGATGGCTGGGTGACAACTCCCATTCATACACACTGCCCGCGCTAAAAGTTCTTCCCATGGCAGCAGCTCAGAGCAAGTCAATCAATTTATGCAAATATTCAGCCTGATCTGACTTGACAATATGACCAGTAAAAATACACTAGGTGAACTCTGGGGCTTTAAATACCTCTTCTGGTCACTGGGGTTAATCCATCAGACCAGAAGCAGTTTAAGACGACCACATAACATCATGGCTAAAAAATTTGAATGTCATTCTCTATTTTTGCAGTGCTGTTGATTTAGGACAAAGGGAATAGTATAAACACTGTATATTCTTCTCCCATCAAACAAATGTGTGTGGGTGTTATAGGAAGCTTCTATCACTAGGGCACCTGCCAAAGAAGTTACAACAATCTTTGTCCTTTAATCCATAATCTTTCAACACCTTATACGGGAGAAGTTGTTTTGCACTGGCACATACCAATACTGAGCTGGATGGTACAGTGTGTCCCAGTTTCTCTTCCAGCCCAGGTGCGCAAGCATTGAGGCAAGTCATGGACCACCTTTTATCACAAATTTGCAGTAAATTCATCCCAGAACCTAGTTAGACAACAGCATTGAAACCAAAATGTAGATCTTGAGACATGAGATCAGTCTTATGAAAACAGAACAGACAACATTCAGTCAAGGTTCTCCCATATTAATTGACAAAAAAAAAGAACAGAAAAGAAAGGAGGAAAAAT